ATATATGTGTGTATATTTGTATATATATATAATATATAATATATATATATTTATATATGTGTGTGTTTGTGTGTGATATATATACATATATATATATATATATATATATATATGTATATAAATATATATATATATATATGTGTGTGTGTTTGTGTTTCTTTGTGTATGTGTTTATGCAAATACGTATATATCTATATAGGTATAACATATATCGACTGCGTGTATTCGCTGTGTATTTATTACAAATGTTACCTAAATACTTATCATTTTATCTCATAACACGTAATCCTAGCGCAGTATACTGCGTATGTGGCGATACTCATAGTCGTGGCCGAGATCCCTCTCAATATGGCTATCATCGAGCTGCGAAAGTGTATGTTAAAAGTATACGAAGGATATTCCTTCATGCGTATTCGCTGATGATGTGTATCCCAAATCTGTCGATGTGCTCATAGTATCGAATCCATGTACAGTGTATATAATTTGACACTGGCTCCAGCGGAATATTATATTTTAATCATTTACTATGTTCGATGGAAATAACACTGTGGTGGTCTATTCGATGAACGGTTTTGCAATGGCAGCTGAACGTGTTTGCAAGAATGTGTCTTATCATATTCGAAGCCTCACATCTCAATCTATCGCTACTTCAATATCCAGATACAGAAATCGATTGGGTGGCCTATATGCAGGAGGTTGAAGGTGTAGAGAATGGAGAGTACGACTATTCGAAATTGTACGGCAATACCGGGCCTCTAGTGTATCCCGCTGGGTTCGTGTACATATTTTACGCTCTAAGACACCTAACCAACCTGGGTGAAGATATACGTACAGCCCAGTACATATTCGCTGGACTGTATGTAGTTTTACTATCACTCGTGCTGGCCATATACATCCGTACCAAACGTGTACCTCCTGGTGTGCTTGTGATAATGAGCTTCGCCTCCTACCGGATACACTCAATATTCGTCCTGCGCCTGTTTAATGACCCGGTTGCGATGTTATTTGCCTACGGTTCCTTCCTGTTGTTCTTGTACGACTACTGGGACTTGGGTTGCTTTGTTTACAGCCTGGCAGGTGTGTTCCATAAATATATTTATGTATATATGGTAACATATTCTTAGTCTTTATTCATAGGTTCTAATCGCTATGGTGCTCTCCCATGCATGCTTTTATGTTTTTCGGGGTGCCTACTGAGATCAATGACAGTGCTGTCTGCTTTCTTTTGTAAAAAGACCTGAAAACATCAGATAAAATCTGACTGATTTTATGGCATTTATACTGAGACTTGATTGTTCCCTACATACAGTGTCCATTAAAATGAATGTGCTTCTATTTGCTCCGGGCCTCCTCGTGTTACTATGGCGACGTTTTGGCTTCCGAGACACCATTCCGAAGCTTCTAGTCTTCTGTGCTCTGCCTCAGGTCTGTTGAGCGATGCGTTCTCCCGGCCTTGTACATCTTGAGCTTGTAACCAATATTTTATTGGATGATATTGTGTTATAATATACTTCGATATTCATGGGGCTAGATGCATCGTCACTGTACGCACCTCTACAGATTATATATACCAGGATGTCAGCTACCTAGTTCTAGTCTAAAGGCTTATTTGAACTACTTCAGGTGATTTTGGCGCTGCCTTTCCTGCTGACCTATCCCAAGGAGTATATGCTAGGAGCCTTCAATCTGGGTCGAGTCTTCGCCTACGAGTGGACAGTCAACTGGCGCTTTCTCGCCGAGGAGACCTTCCTGGACAAACGCTTGCATCTCGTCCTATTGGCTCTCCATATCTTATCTTTAACGGTGCTACTGCTGGTGGTATGGACCCGCCCCCACGGCGGTCTCTGGACTGTCTTGACCGCAACTCCCAGTCCTGCTAACCGACCATCTTCCCATGAAATTCTCTTCCTTCTATTCTCAAGTAACTACGCCGGCATGTGCTTCAGCCGATCGCTGCACTACCAGTTCTATGTCTGGTACTATCACACTATACCCTACCTACTGTGGTCTTCGACTGTGCCGCTTCCTGTGCGGTTCCTGGTACTCATCGGCTTTGAGTGGGCCTGGAACACCTATCCATCGACCTCAATTAGGTATGTACACCCGTGTATTCGCAACTTCTATTGTGCATGTAAATACTGGTATTCGTGACTGTATATCTACTCCTTATTTTCAATGTAGCCATAGCCTCTGGTTGTTTGCGTCACACTTGTGCCTCAATAGATTGTGTTAGTGCACATGCAGCGTTGCTATAGTGACCATGTGATAGATCCGGTCGTCGGTTATAGCGTTTTTCTTCTTCAAATGCGTATGTTTCCGCTTGCCGACATATACTGGCACGAGGTTTCGAGCTACAATCTGATCGTCTGTATTCGCTTTTATGCGTTGTTTGCTTCCTTTACTACCTCGCAACCGTTGGAAGAATGCATATATGCGTAATCGTATGATATGTGCATGTGCATACTTATGCCGATATGTTAATTTGGAAGCGCCCACTGTTGTTAGCCGGATACTCGATAGATCCTATCTCCTCGCCAACATTTCTAGACTCGATTTGTGTGGTATGTGGGCGTTTACAGTGAGAAATATTTGGTTTTGCGAGGCCACAATTATATCTCACATCGGCACTAAAGTTTTGCTCTACTCTCCGCAGTTCCGGGATTCTTCTGTGCACGCATTTGGTTCTGTTAGCGGGATTAATAACAGCGTCAATTGTGCCGAAAGATAGCTCAGATTCATCGCGGAAGGCCCTGGTCAATAAAAAGGCACAATAGATAGCTTCCTACTGATAATACGGAGCATGCTTTGGTGCCGTATACAAATATAGTAAAATTACGGTTTGTCAGGATTTTTCTAATCGTTTCATCGCTACCGCCGCGTTGTCGGGTGTGCTCATTTGGTCATGAGCGGTAATGTTCGAGCGTAAGCGCAATGCGAGACGAACACGAATTAAAGTCGCTCACTCGACTAAACAAACGATGCCTACATAGTGAAATCGCAAATTGGACCACACGCTTCACAGAGGAGCCTCTACTTCTATAATGGGGAGCTTGCAGTTCATTGCATACCCAAGAAAAACGTACCGCTCTATCATCGGCTATAATGGGGTTATGCCGTATATCTAGTTGTGCTTTCTGCTTGCAGCGGAAAAAATTCAAAGGGTCAGCAAGGGGGGCTATGGGGTGGCATAATAATTGCCCTACCCAACATCATATCGTTGCATTCTTGAGCAAACTCGAATACCGATACATCGTCTACATCCGCGTCATGTCCGATTGTCAATCTCAGTTTATACTGCAAATCAGTTTATATTGCATACAATCATTCAATACTAGGCATTATGTCCTTCAGCTTGAGAACGATGGCGTTGCAATAAGAATAGCTTTGGAATGAAAGTCATATATACTGTTGTTTATTTATCTCTGCTGAATTGTAACTTTTTACCGCTAGGACTTTGCTTCCAGTTTTCCATGTAATTCGAAAATTAAAGGATTTTCACAACATTCTGCGTGCTTGTCTCATTTTAGTTGACTAATTAAAATAGTTTGTATGAAGCGTGGTAATTCATCAGACGGTAAACATGATGAACTCTTGTCAGTGTCTATGTTCGCACTTCGAGTCTACGCTTTTATTTTGAACGGTAAACATTCACTCATTTCTTCGGAGTAGCTATAGGCTTTCTTTCAGGCGCGTATGCGGGTGGAGGGTATTCGGTTATGGGCTCTTTAAATGCTGAGTTTTTGCTACCAGATGGTATCATGCCTGTGGAAGCTGCAGCAGCGGATGAGGACCATTGTATCGTCAAAGAAGGCACTGGTAACGTCTCCGTTCTTGTGCCACTACCCATGCCAGTGATTACTTGGTGTTGAGACACCGCAAAGATCCACTGTACGCCACGAGGCATGCTTTTAGGATTAGCTTCTTCGTCGAGGTATCCCTGACACATTTCTATATCATTGTAGAACATATCTTCGAGCTTTGCGAACTTCGAGAAGAGTATCGGAACCATACAGCACATGAAGCAAGGTATAAGCGCCTTGTATGAAGTTTTTTGGAAGTCTATGCAGCCCGCTCTGTAATCGTTGAATTGAGAATTCAAACGAGAAACTACGTCGAGGAACTCTTGCTCGTGCACCAGTCCGAATAGCTGCATGGGAAACCTTTCATCAAATCGTGCAAACATATTTTTCGCTCCACAGTTTGACTTAGAGTTTGGTCTATTGTTCATTGTTAATGTGTAGCTCGACATTTTGATTCCAGAATTTTATTATTGTGGTTTAACGCAAAGAAATCGTGCTATATATATATATGCGGGACATGTTGCAGGTATCAACTCACAAGTCAACTCAAAACTCAGAACTCAGAACTCACATCTGCATTCGGCATTCTGCATTCTACAACATATAAATAGATCCAAGATTGCATAAAAATAAACTATAAATTTAAAAAAAAATAGGCGCCAACACTGAATAGTGAATACCCGCCATACCCCTGACAATACCATGAATCAGTGATACCACTTCATTCCTCCCAATTTTCGTATACATAGCTAGAGCCTTGTAGAGAGAAGTAAAAAGCCCCTTCTCAACTTTAATGCGTTGCAGATCTAGTCTCGCTAAAAGCCATATTAGGTTAAACGTTTCTCATTCACATTTTAACGCACAGAAACGGGTACAGATCAAGAATTGTAAAATTTCCCATCCTAGTTATTACTGCTTCATTTGTGCATTTAACGCTTTCAGTTCCCTCTGTCGCTTGCGACATGTTTATTAAAACAAATGTTTTTTTATAAACACACAAAGAGTAGATGTATTAATAAAAATAGATATCACTCTTTTGTTTTTTTTTTAAATGATTGAAAATAGGTGATGCCAATCAGCCAATGCTGAATCAGAATAAATACCCGCCATACCTGACTGACTGACTCTCAGTGATATATTTATCACCATTCGCAGACTCGCAAGTCCCAACTCCCAAGCAACATGCATTCGAATCGTAGGCATTATTTATATCATTTTGGCCTGGATTCATAGCCTTCTGAAAATCAAAACTAGACACTGGATTTCTAAACATTTTGATAATCTAAATAGATTGTTTTGACTGATCATCGTAAATTCTATGAGCCCAACTAAATGCCTACGAATCATAGGCATCCTGAAAAAGAAATACTGAATCTCATTGGACTATTATTAAATTTTCATGAAATTCTATCGATTCCTATTTTTTTTCTACAAACGTTTCGTTGTCAAGCAACATGTGGGCATGACTAATAGTCTCATACTTAATAATACATACATAGAACGACCACAACAAACAAAAGCACACAATACTTGGAGTAGTGATATAAATATATTATATATATAGATGTATATAATATAAT